TCTAGTGGCACTTGGATGTCCTTGCAGTTCCAGGGATCAAAAAAATTAACAAAGAATTGTGTGCAAAATCCCCTCCCTCCCTCTGCCCTGACAGTGAATTCCTGGGAAGTAATAGAACAAATAGCCTAGGGCTGCAAACCTCACCTTGTGAGCACAGGAACTAAAACCTGATAAAATCTTTACCTGGCAAGGGAGGCTGGATCCCTTCTGAGTGAAACTCCAGGAGAAACAAAGGCCAGGAAAGGAATTTCAAAGAAGACCATCAACTACCTGCAATTCTACTCCCTTGGCAACCACCCTAGCAACCAATGCTTACCTGGCTGGGAAGCCCCACACGGGGCAGCTTGGGAGAAACCCTATGAAAGCCAACAGGAATGAAGGAAGTGCGTGTAGATGCTGCCTGAGCCAAAGTGCTGTCTGTGGTCATGTGTTGCTGCCTAGCGCATGTGGTGCCAAGCAAGCACACGTGTCACCCGAGTCTCCCCTCTTGAGATGTGGGCTTTTATATCTAACGCTGGGGTGCATACTGGTGCTCCCTCTCCACTCTGAAGGAAATTCCTTTATTGTCTCTCTGTCTGTCTGTCTGTCTCTGTCTCTGCCTCGCTTACCTAAAAACTTCCCAATAAAACCTGGTTTGGACTTCATTGTTAAGACTCATCCCAGTGCACATGTTGCCCGAGCCCATGTGCTGCTTGCACCCACGTGGCCACCCACGTGACCCAGCACATGTGGCATCCTCATTGCCCCCTCTTTGATACTTTGATATGTGTACTTTCATGCTTTCATGTCTACTACCGGGATATGTGTAGAGGCTCTCTCCACCCTTGTAGAAGCCCATGTTCTCTCTTGAGCACATTACTCTGTCTCTCTCTCTCTCTCTCTCTCTCTCTCTCTCTCTCTTCTCTTTCTCTCTCTCTCTCTCTCTCTCTCTCTCTCTCTCTCTCTCTCTCTCTCTCTCTCCCTCCACACCTTAAAAAACCCTCCAAATCAAATCTATTTACCTCACAAAAAGACTCCTCCCAAAATTCTTTTCTGTGTGGGACCTGAAAGGCCTGGGTATGTTCTAGGACTGACTTTCCTTTCCTGCAAGGAGCAAGGCTCACAGTCCAAGATTCCTCCCCCATATCTTCTCATGTGACAGAAACGCATAGAGAGAAAACTGGAGATTTCCTTCTCCAGGGCTTCCCCTCTCGCCTCCCCACTTCACATAAGTCATCCGGAGATCCCCACTGGCATCAGTTCTGTATTTCTTGCACTTAAACCTAATACTTTCTATGCTTAAATTACATATGCCTTTTTCTTTCTTTTTGCTGATCAAATTTAACAGAGATTACTCTATATTATTATTTTATTACAAAGAACTAAGCCCTTTAAATTTATCTAGGGTTTCTTCTTTCTAACTCATTTATTTCTTCACTTATATTTTATTTTTTTTTCCTTACAGTGTTTTTCCTTTTCATACATTTATGGTTGAAAGCTTGTGGTCATTTATCTTTTTCTTAATGAAGATAAAAGCAAAGACAAAAAAATAAACCTCTGGGTAAATCCTAAGCAATTTCTCATATTTTTTTTTTCATGGACTGCTTTATTTCCACAGAAATATTGCTTTCTACTCTTGATTTTGAATATATTTTAAATTAATCAAACTGAAATTTTAAAGCATTTATTTCCACTGTTACATTATTATTAGCAAAGAGCATGTCTTTTGAAAGTTCTTTTTGCATACTTAATGAAATTTCACTACCTCATAACACATTCATTTATGGCCACTCCCAGAAGTAGTATGTAGGGACCCCCAGGGTGAACTAGGTCTATACATGGCAGCGTTCAGGGAATCTGTTGTGACAGGGATTGAACCAAGGACACCACACATACAAAGCAGACCTTCTTAATACATGATTTCCACCATTGGCCCACATTACCATTTTAAAAATTTGTACATAGGTCGGGACTCTTTTTATATATTCGTTTCATTAGTAAGTTTTCATAGCAGGCAGAAGTTACTATAGTTTATAAGTCTGCCTAGCTTTTCTATCTCTTGTGTTCCTCAGAAGCACAAGAAATACCATGATATCAAATGGTTCCTAAAGGAGCAATACCAGTTCTACTCTCTGTGAGAAAATAGAGATGGGAAGGACTGGAGTTAGGCAAAACAAGAAGCCATGGCAGGTTGCACTTCAACAAAGCAAGCAATGGGTCTAATTTACTGTTTCCCAAAGACCGGTGTTCCTGTGTCCCCAAAAGTTTGTGGTTAGAGTTACTAGAAAGAATGCTCCCATCCCTACCTGCTTACATTAATCAGTAAGCAACACGTCCTGTAGTCTGTTACTGGAAAAACCCGCAAAGTATAAATGTTGGTGCCTGCTAACTATGTTTATGTGATTTAGGATATAAAAACCTGCTGTAATAAGGGCTTGGAGTCCTTGTCAAGACTCCACTGCATTGGATGAGACTTGGACCTTAGCTCGAGCTAGCAATAAAGGTCCTTTGCTTTTGCATTCACACATGTGGAACTGGTCTCTCGGCGAACAGGAAACCCTAAACCCAGGTATAACCGGTGGTTATGACCCCCCAAAGTGAATAGCTTCCTGGCATACCCATCAAGGTTGGGCCCATCAGACCCAATTAGAAATTGGCAACCTTTGTATTAGATATCACATTTATAATGCTGTAACTGTGACATTTTAACTTCTGGTTGGGTTCAACAATTGTCATTGGCAGGATCCTGGAGAATAAGGTATGACTTTCCTTGGAACTGCCATAATCTATGCTGTATTCTAAGTGAATCATGACAACTTTTAGATATCTGAGTATATTTTACACAACTGCAGCTACAGTTGCTCTCTAGTAGACAAGGTTAGAACTCTCACAGGTTTCAGATAGCAGCTCTCTCCCTCTGTTTCTTTAAACTGGGAGGTAGTGAAAGCTGTTAACTCGCATTAGATTCTGCATGCTTTGCCACTCATCTTTAGGTCTTTTAATTTTGCCTTCATTTCTGAACATATTTGCCTCATTATAGTCTCTTTAGTTTTGTTTTTGCAAAGTCAATCAATTTCATACCAAGATTTCCAGCCAGCTTGTCTTGTGCTTAGATGGTGACCATCAGTGATACTTTAAAGGACAAATAATGAAAAGCTCTTTCTTTCCCTATTAGAAACACCAGATCCCAGGTCATTTCTACTAAAAATAAAGTTTGACTTTTGGAGTGCCTATCTGGATTTAGAGAACTTAGATGAAATTGATAGACTTATCAATTAGATAGACTATTGCTACTTATGCAAACCCACCTTCTTAGGGAAGGAGGTTTACACATAATGCACACAACTGAGCTGATAGAATCATCTATGCTTTGGAGTATCAATAAGCATAAAATCACTACTAAATATATGGCATATTTACGCTGTTCATGTTCTCCATTTCTTTGCTGCTAAATTTATTGCAGTCTGGCAAGGGTGAATTAAAAGGTATAGAGTAAACATATTTTCATCAACTCTTCCTTGAACAATTAGCAGCATTTCTATTATGCAATAAGTTGAGACATATTTTAATTATTAATAATAACTGCCTTGAATAAAAGTGAAACACTTTAAATACTTTTAGATTTCCTTTGTTATTAATCTTTCTAGCACTGATTTTTAAAATAGCTATGTAGTTGCTCATTTAGTTTATAATAACCCCTTTATTTTCAGCTATTGGCATCTCATTCATAACTAAATTTGAGCACTAAACATGGCTCCATATATTTCGGTACATACCCATTTACTAACTTTTTGGTTAATTAGTATAGGGTAGAAACAAGGAAATAACATTCTTTATCATTTGTATTGGGTCAATTAAATTTTATATAAATAAGCTGAATACTAACCCACTCCCTAAGACATATATATGATTATCAATTCCCAGTGGAATGCAAATACAAATGGCAAAAATATTAAATATTATAACACTGTCACGGTCCTCCCATTATTCATCGATTTGCTCTAGCGGGCCCAGTAATGTCTCCATAATGAGACTTGTTGTTTCTGTTTTTTTTTTTTTTTTGCATATCGAATACATCACGGGTAGCTTGCCAGGCTTTGCCATGTGGGCGAGATACTCTCAGTAGCCTCCCGGGCACAGAAAAAAACATTTTCACTCAGGGTAATGTTCCTGATCATTTGTTTGATTTCATGTAAGCTAATAAAAACAGAGGTGTGATATTAGAAAAAGTCAACAATCATGCCTAACCAAGTAGGTTAGTTAAAGGATAAGTTTGAGATTCTTCCTTTTCATTCAGCCCTTCCTTTTATAGGGTGAAAAAGATGGTTGGGCCACATACTGCTATGCTCACAGCTACTCCTGAATCTGTGCTCAGGCATCACTCTTGGTAGGGTTCAAGGGACCACATGACACATTGGGAATTCAATTTGCGTTGGGCCTGTGATTGTTGACTTTTTCTAATATCACACCTCTATTTGTATTAGGTTACATAAAATCAAACAAATAATTGGGAAAATAGCCCTGAGTGAAAATTATGATATTTTACTGTGTGGAATTTTCATACTTAGATCTGATGTCTAATAAATGTTGGCTTCATTCAAACTATATCAACATCATGTTTGAACATTCTTGATACAGAAAAAAAACAATCATTAGCCATATATAAAAACATGTATTACAAGAAGTACTACAATAAGGAACTGAGTTCTCCACAGGATTTATTTATGCACCAAATGCAGCAAAATCAAGGAAACTCAGAAAAAAACTTGAAAGGCTGACCATACTAGATCACACTTCTCCCTGCCCCCTTGTGGCTGATTTATATTAGCCACATGCAGATACTCAAGATGTACAACTCTCTTACTCCTGATAATATAATAATAACAGTTTTGATTTACTATATATATGTATATATATATATATATTGAACTACTTTCTTGTTGTATTTGGGGGAAAGCCCTAATTCAAATCCCAAGCCTGCTGCCTCGCAGGATACATTCTCAGTCCAGGTTTCCACTTACATTATTTTTCTGCAAGACCCGAAGTGCCTTGTTGACATTGTTCAGGGCATGAACTCTTGTGGATCCTTTTTCTTGTGGCTGAAAACAAAACAAAACAAAACAGTGTTTACTGCCGAGCAGGGAGATGGCAATCTACTAGAATGGAAACAATTTCTGAGCTCAATTCTAAATTGAAGCACTTTTTCCTTCCCCTTTCCTTTTGCTGTTCTTTTGATGACCTGACAGGGGAGGGAAGGGGAACCCAGGGGTATAGGTGGGGGCATGGGTGTCTCACACCACACTTGGTTGTGCTCACATATTTGAGTCATTGTATTTACAAGGAATCAGAGCCTCATACCTGCAAGGTAATCCCTTGACCACTGAGCTTCAGGTCCCCAAATTTGAATGTTTTCAGGAAATGTGTGTTATGAGGTATTATTGTAATGAATGAAAGGGCTTTCAGCTAATTGACCTTATGGTAGTACTTTCTTTGCCTAAATTCACCCTCCTCAGAAAAATGATAGCATGGACCAGAGATATAATATAGGGGTTAAGGAACTTGCTATGCACACAGCCAATCCAGTTTCAACCCTGAGCATAACATATAGTCCCCTGAGCACCACTGGGAGTGGCCCCTGTGCATAGCCAGGAGTAAACGGTGTGAACTAGAAGGGGAAAATCAGAAAGAGAGAGGGAGAGAGAGAGAGAGAGAGAGAGAGAGAGAGAGAGAGAGAGAGAGAGAGAGAGAGAAACAGTAGTAACTAATTTCTCTGAAAATTTTGGTTAGGACCATATATGAACTCCACCACCAAACTGGGCAAGAGAGATTATGATGTCCACACTTTGGAGAAAAATTTAAGAGATTGTCATATAGGTTAATTTTATAATACCAGAATGCATATAGGACTTCAAAGAACCACATCTGAAAGTTCTTGGTGTCTATTTATGCTCAAGGCTGATCCCTAATGGTGGTTAGGAGACTATATGTAGTGCTAAGCTCCAAACAGAACTGGCTGCATGCAAGACAAGTGCTTTAATCCCTGTATCATTTCTTTGACCCTGTAGCACTGTAGCACTGTCCTCCTGTTGTTCATCAATTTGCTCGAGCGGGCCCAGTAACGTTCTAAAAGAAAACAATTTCTATAAATATTACTTTCATTATCATAGTATTTGGAGTTCAAAATCTCAATTGTCTTTGATTTTCTGCCTCTCACTCTCAGTCCTAAAAGAAATATATTGTACTATCATCTTTAAACTAATATTTCCATTTTCCTTGCAAGACATGAAATAATTCATTGTTTCAGCTGTAGAATTTTACAAATTTCTCTGCTATTATACCCAGAGAATTTACTAATATCTGATCTACTTTCTTCATAATTTTACCTGCACGATCACATATTGTTAAGTCTAGGCATGATGTTGTATGCCAGATCTATGGAACTTACCATCTTGCATGATCCAAACTACCCACTTTCCAAGATTGCAGTTTGGTGGTCTTAGCATATTTAAAATTAGAACTAGGGGCCAGAACATTACTAAAGCAGGTATGGGGCTTGCCTTGCTGATCTGGGTTTGATCCCCAGCACCCCATATTGTCTCCTGGGCACTGTCAGGGGTAATTCCTGATTAGAGCCAGGACCAACACCTGAGCAGTGCCAGATGTGGCCCCCAAACCAATAAATAAGATTAGGGCCAGAGAGATATTACAGCAGGCAGGGAGCTTACTTTACACATGACCAACCTGGGTTCGGTCCCAAGCACCACATATGATCCATCAAACCAGAACAGGAGTGATTCCTAAGTGCACAGTGAGAAGTAAGCCATGAGTATCACTGTGTGTACCTCCACCCCCCTTGAATTAAATTTAAAAAGTCATTACTGATAAGTGGTTTATAATAAAATGATATTCAACATCAACGGCCAAGACCCAGAGATTATAAAACTCTGCTCCCAGAAGTGCGCGGACGCGTGACATCTTATTATCTAGGTCTTACTCTGGAGAACCTGGCAGGCTACCAAAAGTATCCTGCCCAAGTGGCAGAGTCTGGCAAACTCCCCGTGGCATATTCAATATGCCAAAAGCTAGTAACAATGATGGGTCTCATCCTCCTGACCCTGAAAGAGCCTCAAATGTGGCACTTTTAAAATTTCAGGACTAGGATGAAGGAGATGTTACTGGGGCCTGCTTGAGGCAATCGATGACCAACAGGATGACAGTGATATTCAACATCAAAGGCACTAAATCTTATAAGCAAATCATATCAACTAGAGTACTGAAAAATTTGAGCCGCTTGTTCTGCATGTAAAAGAATATAAGAAAAAAACAATCACTGTATCACTGTCATCCTGCTGTTCATCGATTCTCTCGAACAGGCAGCAGTAACGTCTCCTTCATCCTAGCCCTGAGATTTTAGAAAGTGCCAAATTAGAGGCTCTTTCAGGGTCAGGGGAATAAGACCCATAATTGTTACTCGGTTTCGGCATATTGATTACAACATGGGGAGTTTGCCAGACGCTGCCGTGGGAAGAGGATACTCTCGTTAGCCTACCGGGTTCTCCAAGAGTGAGAACTAAAAGCCAATAATGTGACAAAATGATTTTATTTGGGGGTAGCTCCTACATTGCTAGTTACATCAATTAATAGTAAAGGAAGAACTTTTACTGGATTATATAAAACGAGGCGGAGTTAGTTTCTTCTCTGAAATTATATCAAGGGAAACATTCTTTTTTTTTATTTATTGAATCACTGTGGGAAAAGTTACAAAGCTTTCAGGGTTAAGTCTTAGTCATGCAATTATAAAACACATTTCCCTTCACCAATACTTATTTTTCACCACCAAGAACCCCAATAAAGCCCCCCTCCCAACACTCCCAATGCCTGTGAGGCAGATGAATTCTAGTTAACACTCTATCTACTTTGATTAGATTCACTGTTTCGACAAAAGGTGCACCATTATTATTTAGAGTTTACACCCCCAAATCAGACATGCTGTAAAGGCATTGTTAAATAATTTGTTCTCTACAGCTGGTCACAAGAATCAAATGATGTTTATTGTGGCTGTGCGAATTTGGATTTCTGGTATTTTACTTATTAAGCCTGGAAGTATTTCTGCTGAGAGTCAGATAATTATGAGATTGGTTTCTGTGCTCTGGAGCCATGGCCATGCCAGAGAGCCTCTCGTGGGGGGCAACTCGTGAACTTCGTAGGGTGTGAAGGACAAGCCAGGAACACCCCCCTAAGGGAAACATTCTCATGGGGAAAAAAAATGACCTACCAGTTTTTGCCCTGTCAGGCCTTCAAGAAGGTCTAGGAGGCGTCGCCCATCCTGGAAGTCACTGAAGAGGTTCTCAATGTGCTGCTTTCCAAACTGAAATACAAAAACAGATCTGGTTTCAAAAAGTCCATTTCTAACAATCTGCATCTATATTACATCTTCTAATTTTTCACCTATTGTTTCTCAGGGCAGACTGTACCCAAATATGTCTATGTGTCTTACTGATTATTTGGAATTAAAGTGGCTGGAGCAAGTGCTGGTGCAAAAAGGACACTGTGACATCATTTCTAAATCTGCCACATGAAAGGTACCCTCTCTTAGCAGGAGGAGAAGGGTTGTAATTATTCCCAGAGCATTGGGGAATCCAGAAGAACAAAGGTGTGTGTATAAACTTCACTCAATTTGGCTCCGTGCTTTAGTTAGTATTCCAGTTTAAAGTCTCTTTCTTTGTCTTGTCAGTTCTTTAGAAATGCACTATTTTGTTTTCTTAAAGGTATATAAGCTCCTTTAGTCAATATGTACATTCCATTATATAGGATGTCTCCATAATTATAATTTTTTATTCTTGTCAATTTAATTATTAGACCATGTAAAAATTATTAAAATGGGAACTTTTATACCCTATACAATGTTTAGGAATATTTAAAGTATTCATCTAATTAATTCTTGCTCTTCCATGGTTGATGAATAAAAAAGAAGGCCCAAAAATCTAAAAGCAATATTTTATTCTGAGGTCAAATAATTAAATGTTTTCAATAACTTCATTGGAAAGCTGTAACCTACTTGATATAACAAATTCAACATTTATCAATGCTCATTCTATATAAAGAGGGGGTAGTTAAATTATATACATAGTGAAGCAAAAATAATCAGAAAACGTAGCAAAGACCTCATTCAGTTTGCCTTGAGTAGGAAAATGAAATGTAAACACTATGGGTAGTTGGTTGGTATTGCATATAATTCAAAATCATAGAATTCTCATCCTTCATCCATAGAAAATGCTTTCTCTGCATATATGTTTTGCATGCTAGCTCAGAATGACCACTTTTGGATGGTTCAAACTCGATGAAAAATGAACATAAATTAAATTGAAAGAAGTGTATGAAAACTTCCGTTCGTTTATCTTTGTTCTTAAAAACGGTAATGAAGAAAAAAGAATAGACTAATGAAAATGTAACACTTCTAGAGAATCTACTCATGAGAAACACTTCAATAAAAAAAATGGGTCTTAAAATTTCTTCTGAGAGATTAGCATGAAGAGATTCATCTTACAGAGGAGACAAAGAGTTCTTGAGCACTGTGTCTCTTTGTTACAAAATTAGAAGGTGAAACAGCCTAGATATTGTCCCAGGTACATCAACCCCTTGGAGACTTGCTCTTTCTGCATCCATTGCCTTTCTTTCTCCATTATTTTAATAGTCCCTAGTATTTTCTTTGTCTAGTTTAAAGCATACAACCCTTTCAAATGAAACCATTAACACATCTTTAAGGACTTATCTAGAAATTCCTAATTATTCAGTGACACGTGGCTACAGAATACCAGTAAACCTGACTAGAATTCAGGTGAATAGAACCTCAAATTCAACAGGGTAAAAAAAGGTTCCTAAAATGTAATGGGCAGAATCAGTAAGCGGATGGGGGCAGGAACAAATAAGAAGAAACACTTTGCCTAAGGGCTGGAGCGATAGTACAGTGAATAGAGTGTTTGCCTTGCATGCAGCCAACCCGGGTTCTATTTCTCCACCCTTCTTGGAGAACCTGGCAAGCTATAGAGAGTATTTTGCCCGCACAGCAATGCCTGGCAAGCTAGCCATGACATATTAAATATGCCCAAAACAGTAAGAAGTCTCACAATTTGTTTTGAGACATTACTGGTGCCCGCTCAAGCAAATTGATGAACAATGGGAGGACGGTGCTACAGTGCTACTTTGCCTAGCATTAGCTTTTGTTGATCTAATTCTGCTGGTACCTAGATTGCAAATAAAATTTAAATATCATAAAGGCCAACAGGAAATCAATAATACTTGTTCTGGAGAGATAGTAGAGGGGTAAATGTGCTCACCTATCACATGGCTGATTCAGGTCCAATCCCTAGCACTACATATGATGCCCTAGGCACTTCAGGAGTGATCCCTGAGCACAGATCCAGGTGCAAACTCTCAGCCCACTGACTGTGGTCCCAAAATGAAAGCAAACAAATCAGAAAAGCCCTAGTCTCCATGTCAAAAAATACCATGCCTGATGGCTTCTGAGACAGAACACAGAGGACTCAGATCATCTACAACTACAATAGCAGATCATGTCTTTTTGTCTAGATTTTTCACTTAATAAGAACAGTCACCCCTCAAGGAATCCACTGGCCCATCCTTGCCGAGACTGTGAAATGAAACACATGATGCTTTTTTTAAAATTTTTTTTTAAAAAAACTTTTATTAGTGAATCACACACATGATGCTTTAACGAAAGATAACTACATTATTCTATTGAATGGATTCATTAAAAAATCCAAGTGGAAAACTAAACAATGCAAAATATTACCAAAATAGACTTTATTTTTGGTTCCGAGCTATAACTGCCAGTGCTCAGAGGCTCCACTTGGCTCTGTACTCAAGGGTCACTTCTGGTAGCAGTGCTCGACGGACTATATGTGGTGAAGATGAAGAAGCCAGGGTCAGCCTCATGATGTAAGTGCCCCAGTAACACCATTCTGGCCCCAAAGAACTTTCTTTTCAAGTGCTTTTAATACAAATAACATGTTATCAATTATTGAAACAAGGACCAGAGAGACAGTACGGGAAGTAAGGTACTCGCTTTTTTGGGGGGTGGATCACACTTGGCGATGCACAGGGATTACTCCTGGCTCGTGCATTCAGGAATTACTCCTGGCAGTGCTCGAGGACCATATGGGATGCTGGGAATCGAACCTGGGTCAGCCGCATGGAGGGCAAACACCCTACCCGCTGGGCTATCGCTCCAGTCTGGTTCTCGCTTTTCACATGACTGTGGCAGCCACAGTTCTGGTTTGAAGCTCCAGAATCATAAGATCATAATTTATAGGTATCACCAGGAGTTTATTCCTGAGCACAGATCCAGGAATAGGCCCTGAGCATCACTGATACGGTATGTCCTCCCATATAACTAGAATAGTTCCATTCCCCAACTTCAAATTTTAAGTAAGGTTTTCTAATACTAAGTAAAGTGAATGTACACCTTATAATAGCTCTGTCAATAACCTCATATATAACCAGGAATAAGTTTGCATGGGGATGAGGTTCATATAGAGGTTTTTCTTTACAAGTTGAAGGTCTACAATACCTTAAAAATGCTATCTGTTTTCCAGAAACAATTTTTATAGATATATTTGAGAATTGCAAAAACTTATTTATGAAACAAATGTTATACATTAAAACATCTCGAATTTTGAAGGAAGTAAAATATTCTTGCTCTTATAAAATAGAAATACAGTAAAGGTTATCGAAATTAGGTGGGTGGTGATCTATTCAACCTAGAAGATAAGTAGGGGTTAGAAAAGGAAGGTCTCAGGTACAGATTAAAGCACAAACCCAGACTCATAGGGATTACCCAACATCCAAGAGAAGCAAACTACAAAGTTTGGCCTTACATACAGGAGTTCTAGACAGAAATTCTACAAGGTAAATAAGAATAGTGTAATGATCCCACTTCTATATACAGGCAAGAGTATTTGGGCTGGAGTGATAGTACAGTGTGTAGGGGGTTTGTCTTTTATGAGGCCAAACCAAGTTCGATCCCCAGCATCCCATATGGTTCCCCAAGAACCTCCAGGAGTGATTCCTGAGTGCAGAGTCAAGAGTAACCCCCGAGCATCGCTGAGCATGACTCAAAATGCAAAAAAAAAAAAAAAACAAAAAAAGAGTTGTAAAATAGAGTTGTTTGATAATGCTCTTTTATTTTTGCTTTTTTTTTTCATTTTGTTTTGGTGGCACCACCTGATGATGCTCCGGGGTTACTCCTGACTCTAAACTCAGAGATCATCCCAGGCTCTATTCAGGTATCTTAAGTGGTGCCTGGATTAAATCTTGGTTGACTGTGTGCAAGGCAAGTGCCTAACTTGCTGAACTATCTCTGTGGCCACTAACTCTCTCCTTTAAATAGGAATCAAAATGGACAGGTACTGACGGTTTATAGCAAAGCCACAGCCCTTGGGGGCTATGAACCTATCTAGGGCACCTAGCAAGCAGTGTGTGGGGATGGAGAAAAATATAATACTGGTGTCATATATAATTTTCAAAACTCATCCAATCAATGCTTTATTAAAGTATCACACTTGAAATTCAATTTATATTTTATTATTCCAACACATTCTCTAATAGAGTGCTTCTCTGAATGTTTCACCAAAGCATCCTTCTAGCTGATGAGACTAAATGACTTTACTCCTGAGTCTGGCGTATAAATTACACAGTAACAGCGGGTTCAAAATTTCTGTGAATGAGAGTTTTATGTTATGAATTCTTGGAGATCTTTGCTTCCTCTCCTAATGTATGTTTGCTTTAACTTAAAAGTTATTTCTGCCATTTAGGAGTGAGATTTGCCTTCCTATAGTTTAATTTAGTGGTTTTCAACAGCTGGTCAGTGGACCAGTGCTGGTCTGCAAGTACAAAATGGTTGAAAACCCAGTGCTTTAATTAGTATGATACTCAATAGTATATACAATATTTACCCTGCAATTTTGTTAATCTCCAGGTTCTTAGCCTTATTCCTCTTGAAGTCTGAACACTTCAGATGCAGAGTACTTCACCTTTAGAACATTTTTTTTTCTTTACTGGAGTCAACTCTTCGTCCCATAGCAAAGAGAGCGGAGGGCTCAGGGTCAAACATAGCTGAACTTGACCCTCATGTCCACTCAATGTGCTGTCTTTGGCAAGTGTTTTGGCCCTTTTGAGCCAGAATTTACTCACTAATAAATGGGAATTGAAAGAGTACCACTTCAGAATAGCATGAGATTTAAATGATACAGTATAAGTAATGGGCACTCAGTAAATATAGAAGGATATTTTTTAATGTTTTATTCTTCCATTATGGTTTAGATTCTCTTTCTTATAACCGATGTAGAT